AAATTTCCTTTTTATACACAAATTATGTGGGAAACGTCATTCAGACGGTTGGTAGCTTTAAATCGAGGCCCTTCTTTAGCATTAACATTCCTGACCACTCCTCTATTGTAAATTGTTCGAGTTAAAAAAGCTGCGTGGAAAAAAGATCTCACACCTGCTGCACAAAAGGGCTGTTGGGAGCAAACCCTTGTGGTCAAGTGGAGACTGGGTCCCATGTTTGCTTTGGGTTCAATAACTGATACAATAACTCGGTTGTGGCCCCGCTAAATCTTCGTTAAACCCATACACAATAGAAATTCGGAGTGGATGGAAAATTGACACCCGGTCTAACTGTCAATTTCCAATCGCATCTATCGTTTCTTTACGCTTCTAGAGTGAAATTTGAAACAATTTAATGTTTAAAAGACCAACTACTGAGTTACATCTACTGTATATAAGATTTTCTACTGACTTTCTCAGTGTGTTCGGTAGATCTGATCCGAAATTCACTCGTTAGTTGAACACTTCGAGCCTGCCTGAAACAAAAATAATTAAATTTTTATTAATTTAAACATTTATAAAAGTTTTATATTCATTTTATTTATTAAATTCTCTCTAAAAGTCTAGAAAATGGAGACTTTTATAAGCTGTGTTTAACACATTTATAAAAATCATTAGGCCTTTAATACTTTTAAGTAAAAAAAGCTTAATGAATTTTTAATTCATCAAGCTTTATTCCTTATTATTATATTACAGAAATAATTAAAACAAGTATCGGAAGAGTAGAAACTTTTTAATTAATTCTAAGAAATTGAATTTTTAACTTAATTTCTGATAAAAGCAATGAGAATATTTATTACTCTTTAATTAGTGTTGTTTTTTTAAAAATAATTAACACAATATTATCTTTAAAATTGACGTAAATTTTAAAGGAAATTTTAATAAAAATGAACGAAATCTCTTAATCCTTTACCTTACTCCACGATTTAATAGTTTTAAAATAAAAGTAAGGATGAAAATATCTTGCTTACATCTGTTTAAGTGCTTTTATTTGATGTATATCGAAAGGAAAATATTTTGTTTTCTTGATAAATGGAAACAAGTAATTCATTTTAAATCTTTTCTATAAACAATTTTTAAAATCTGCATATTCCATAAACAAAAAAATATACTAAAACTAAGTACAAACAACTTGTTGAACAATCGCATTTTTAATCTTTAAGATATAAATCATTTTATGTAAATAGCTCCTTCTCTGAATTATAAATATCGCATTATATTCGTTTTTATTGAATATTTTAAAACGTTTTACCTTATAAACATTCTTCTTTTTATACTAAAAAATGCATTCAAATTAATTGATTTTTATCTTTTATAACCTTATTAAATGAATGTAATTAATTTATAGATTGAAATTATATTAAATTTTCTATATTTTCTGATAGAAAAATTAATTTTAAAACTTTGTTAAAGACGGAACGAGTTAGCTTAACCCCTGTAGTTACGTCTCTTCCTCGAGACATTATTATTTTACAGCAAAGCTGGGTGACAATTTTAATTAATTATTGTTGCATGTAATATTTTAATGAATATTGTTTACATTAAAGTTAAGTGAATTTTCAGACTAGCAGTACACATGTTTATGCAACCCGAAACATTACAACAAACTGAAGAAAATTTTGTAACTTGCAAAAGTTTATCGTAATTATAATTTATCTTTTACTTCGCTGTTTATTTACTTTTCGTAACTTTTTGAAATATATTTTGCAACTTACTTTTATTATTATTTTTTAAATATATTTTTCTATTAATTTCACTAAATTTGGCAATCTTTCTTAAAAGAAATTGCGGATTATAAGGCAAACTTTTTTTGGGTCCTTGCGCTTCAAGCCGAGCGATAATGCAATGGAAGTCTGACAAGTGTTCCTTGTTCGCCGATAAGGGAGTGGTCTGAACCGTCACGTGACCAGATACCACATCCCTGCATCGTGACGTCATCTGTCAGCAGTGGTTGCAACGTCTTACTCAATAGTTATCAATTATGGGCTTAGCTCTAGCGGACTGGTGACAAGTCGTCCACTTCGTTAAGGTGCAGCCTATTGGTAGATTCATATGAATAAAAGTCCTTGTCTGACAATACGCCCTCTAACGGAGGTGTCTAAAAAAAACACGTCAATTGTATGAAGTGTGGCATGCACGTGGCCGACCTTTGACACCAGCATCGATCTGAACTACCAAAAGGAAAAGGCGCTTTAAAATACCATATGATGGATCGGCCATCAACTTTCTCGTTTCTAAATCCTAGCTTTTTACTTTAACTTCCTTCTTTACATTTAAGATATTCCCTCTTATCTATAAATAGTGGACACAAATTCACCGTGAGAAGGTAGGGAAACCGAGGAAAATTAAGTCGTCTTCTCTTAATTCCCGTGTATAACGCTAAGCCAAAATCTTCCATCTTGGAAACGAGGGGCGCTAAATCTTTCAGAAAATCTTTGTCATAAAGATCAGAAGCGAGAAATGTGGTGTTAACACGCTCCGGTAAATTTGTCATGTCGTTCGTGCTGTTATCTTAACTAGCTGTGAACTAACATCGAGCTGACGCTCACCTTGTCCTACCCCAAACCCTATTTTGGGGGGGATCCACGTAAGAAGATGGCCTTCTCCCTTCTTATCATCTACAGAATTTAATATAAAATTTATCCTAATCTATGAATAATTTATAAAGGCCCTATGATTAATCTATAAAGAAAAATTATTATAATGATAAATCTGATTAGGAGCTTAATTAACTTTCTAATATTCTTAATGAGTATTGAATCCAACTATAATAATGAAATTAAAGAGAAAATTTTAAAGTTAATTTACATTAATTAAAAGTTTTAAAGATAAATATAAAGTTAATATAATTAATGTAATGATTATTATTAAAATAATGTAAATTCTTAAAATAAAATTTTAAACAAATATACTAGAAATGTCGCAATTTTAATTATAAAATGTCTATTAAAATTAATTAAGTGATTAATTATTATATTTAAATTATAGAAAATTTCTTTACTTCTTTTATAATTTATATTATAAAAAAAGTAAAGAAAACTACAGAAAAATAAAATACAATTAGGCCCTTCAGTAGGGCATTTAGCTCAGGCCTTAGACGCACAGAGGCCTCAAAAATTTAATCTTTTATAAAAAAAATATTANATACCACGTGTTAAAAAAAACCTGTTCTATTGATTTTTATTCATACTTCTTTATGGCTTTCGGAAAAGGTCAGGCCCCATTTATGACTAGTTCATGCTTCATCTCGTCTCTTTGTCTCGGTATACGATGATAAATTACGAATAAAATAATATTTAGAATGTTTTTTTTTATTAAAGAAAATAAAAAAAGTCTACAAACGTTCATTAACTTAACAGAAATTCTTTCTTTAGAATTGGAGAAAACGTTTCTGGAAAGGATCATTATCGAGAAAGGACGTGATAAATTGAATGCAGATTGTAATTGTTAGTCGACGACAGTAGAAAAAGCTATTGTTTCTGTGTCTGTCGACAAGTTTACTACTTCCTGCTAACATTGTGAGTCGTTTAACTTAGCCACGTCGTGAGTAAGGGGGTAAAGCATGCCAATCTATAAATGTCCACTTCACCTGTGTCTCGCTTGTATATTCGACTATTTTAGGGTAGGACCCGGGAGAGGAAATTTCTGACGTTCTAACATCATTTTTGCCAAAAAGCAAGGTCATTTTTCGGTTATAAGAAAAACAATTAAAAATAGTTGGAAACTCGCTTGATATTCAAGGTGTTTACGACTTACTCATAACTAACTATATATAACTTTTTAATGTTTGTAGCTGAGTCCAATCGTCGTTTCTTGTTTTCGGCTAAGCAAGCTATTTAGTGGTCTGAAACATCTGTTGCCTCTTTTAATTGCTTGTTGGAGAATTTTGTGTAGGAAACAATGAGTAAAGCTGTTTAAAACCGCTGTAATCGTAAATTACTTCCACTTTAAACAGACCCAATTTTTTCAGATTCTTAAAATATAAATAAATCTAATCAGATTTAATTTTTCTTTTCTTTGACATATTACTTTAATTCCGCTTAACTTTTAAATGCAGAAATCACTCCCCCAATCGCTTGTCAAGTCTTTAAAATGCCCGAAAATCTGACAGTTTTTTAGAGAATTCTTAAAATCTATAATCTTACAGGCTTTTCTATATTCCTTCCTCCATTTTTTTTTTAAATTGGAAGTATTAAAAAATGTACAAATTAATACAGTTTAGTCTCCTTTATATTAGGCCACACAGATTATAGAATTTTACCCAGCTACTCCTTACAAAAAAATAATAAAAAAAAAAGCCTCCATAGTTAAAAGTTGTACAGTAAACCGATTTTGAAGTTTACGGTAAATGCCGAAGATGAAGTGACAGAGTGTTTCGTCGACGCCCCAGGACAGACAGAAAAAGTCAATTTGTCACGAGCTCCAGCCCGGTCTAAAGTTAGAAAACTAATCTCGTCTTAGGCATTTATCAAATAACTTATTTATATATATATTCATTATAAAAAAATCGAATTAAAAAACAAACTCATTGGCATAAACAACTACCCGAAACGCCATCTTGTTTTCTTGTATTATAATTATTATTTAGAAATTGATTTATATGAGTACGAGATTCTCTTAAGCTAAATCGAGAGACTAGAACGGTAGCTAATGTTTCCATTTTGAATTACGACGATGTTAAAACATGGTTTGCAACAGTATATAAAGTTATTTACTCGGGTTTGTAATGGAATGACATAATCCAGCACCGTGCAAGAGATCTATCACTGACACCAGATGTGCTGACTGTACGGGAGCTCCAATGCGACATTCTGGACAGAAATGACGGATGACTATGTGAATGCAATCGTATTTCACTGTCTACTGACGTTATTCTGTTATATACATACTAAATTTTTAATAGTATACTAACCTTTATATAATATATTATAACTAATTCTTTTGTTTCTTCTCCTTTGCAGTGTTATAAAGACATCTGGAGAATTAGACGACGTTTGGACATATTGTAGACTTTCCAAGAAAATTTTTGCCATTCCAATTATTTTTCAAAAAAATTAGCTTCAAAATGCCGTAAATTTTGTGTCTTTGTGCCAGTGACGTGTTAACTACTACCACATCATTAATGTAAATGTTCTGTGTAGTATCATTATTGGAAATAAAAAATATCATATATTTCAATCTGGTATGCCCTTTCGTTTGAATTTTATGATACACTTGTGAGAATTAACGAATATTTAAACAAGAAAAAAAGAAAGTTATGAATGTTTTAACCATTGGCGAGTAGAAAAAAACGGAGAGGGGAGGGAGGAAATCTAAGATTTCTTGGCACGTCGTTTGGACAAGATCCCGAGAAAACAACCTCGTAGACGATTTGTTATGGCTTGTTACTTTAGGTCTCCCGCCTCGTCACAGAATTCCAGCGAAGACAGGAGGTATTACGCGTAGATATGTTAGCGAATTGCCTCACTCCATCATCGAGCTGTTTCTAGAGACAAAAACTCTTCCATCCTCTTGTAAGCGGCTCTACATTTTCAACAAATTTAAAGACGATTCTAGACATAAATTACTCTATAAAACGCTTGTATTTTTCGCCATTAAATCATGCTTTACTCTAAACTATGCTATTAAAATTGTACTAGAAGAGTTAAATTATACGAAAATCTACACCGAAAAGTCCAGTTTAACTACGTTTCTATGGAAAAAAATCATTAAAAAAACAGTTTCCGTATCAAATTAATCTGGATAAAAAATAATACTTAATATTAACTTAAAAGGAATGTAAAAAAAGAATTAATTTTATTAATATCCGCTCTTTTTTTTTATTAAAAATATTAATTCTTTAAAAGTTTCGTGCAACATAAACATCTCCAATTAGATATTAAGGGAGAAAAATAAATTTAAGTATTTTTCAACTCTTAAGAAATTAATCTCTTCGAGTCAAAAATAAATTAGTAAAATTAATTTTAAGAATTTCAATTAAAGACTTTTTGCGGTTTAAAACTTCATTACGTGGCTAATCCCCTTTAAAAAAATTTCTCTGAAGATGTCAATGCATCCGCGTGCGTGTGAGCGCGCCTTGGAAAACTTTAATTAAAACTGTTAATTAAAGATGATAATTAGTCGATCCCCTGTAACACATGCGAAATTTAATTAGGTGACAACCTTTAAACCTTATTAACGCTTAGCTAATTGCATGTGCCACAGTCATCTGTCGCCATCTGGTGCGTACTTTGCACAATTCCCTTCTTGTTTGTTTGGACAGATTAATAATATTCTACGCCAATTTACCCGAAAATTTCGCTTTTACCGGATAAAAAAAAATAACATTTTAAAATATTATAAATTTATTTTTTTAAGTGTTAAGTTTATTATCGTTTATTTATTTATTTTTCCCCCTTGTGTAGACTGTAAACTTGCGTAATGGTTACGTAAAGCGCGAGAAAATTTGGCACTCGATAAAATTTATATTCTCTGTTTGAAGCCGTAACGTTTATAGCGATTAATATCAAATTTATGTATTAATAAACAAAATTTAAGTAGTGTAATAAGATGTATAACAAGGAGCCGAGGGTGACAGAAAGGATATTGTCCATATGGCATGGAGACATACCTAAGAGAAATTATAACATCGTAAGTCTTCCCTACTCGACTGGAAACAAAAGTAAAGTCTTTGTAATGAAGTAACATTATATCTAAATGCCAATAGGCCCCAAATTACCTTTTTTGGGATTTCTCGGTGACAGCCCCACGCTGTGAAAATCTGATCGCTGCCTGCTTACTCTCAAACTTTCCAAAGATTTTTCCACTTCGTTCCTTATCTGCCATCTTAAACCCTGCTAATTGATCCAATACTTTCAAATGATTTATTTTTACTCCTAATGAATTTAATCATTTATTTATTTTAATTAAAACAGTAACAGATTTATCAACAATTTAAAATATAGGCCTATATAATTCGTCTCTCGAAAGTCGTCCAGATTTATGGAAAAAAAAACCTAAAAAACTTTCGACTCGCAATAGGCCTATCAGAATTAGTACAAATGATACTTCAAATTTTGTAATGTATCCGAAAAATACTCATTAAATATAGGTTAATATTCATATAAACCTGTTATATTCGGCTACTGGCATAGGCCCCTATTTTCTAATTTTACAGGCCCCTTGTACAGGCCTAATGAAATGAATTACCCCTTTTTAAACCTTGATCTTATAAACTATTTATATACTGTAATGTATCTTATATAAAATGTTTTAAAAATTCGAGTGATGCTTAGTCTTGTAGTAATGAGCCAAGCAGAATATATAACGAATAGGCCTACTGTTTTCAGATTTAAGTATGTGTTTATAAACAATTTAAAGAAAACAATTGAAAAATTAATGTAGAAATCGACATGTTAAAGAAATTAATTAAAATATTTAAATATCAAAATATTGTATTAAGAGGTGGAAGAGTGTTTCAGGGGGGAAAACGGGACACTTCCCTCTTGGAATCGAGTAAAAATTTCCACAAATTAAATAATAATTTATTAATGTAATTATTTGTCTCCAAGCTTTCCTCCCCGGGAAAATATTCTGCAGACTCCCCCCATTATAGACAATTGAAACGTACTAGCAAATTTAATAGTAGCCGATCAATATTTTCATACTATATAAATAGATGGAAACGTTGGTAAAATCAATTGATAAATCCATCTAAACTAGACATGTATTAAAATAGTTAATTAAGATAAATATATACTTTATTTTTCGATATAATATTTTGCATTCGATACTTAACTGCTTTAAAATAAATTTCATCTTTAATACAACAGATGGAGACACCGATTTAAAAATAAAATAAAATAAAAATAATAATATAAATCTCAATCCACGAATGAATAATAAATACATAACAGAAGAACTTGTGTTTATTTATACATCGATTTATATTATAGAAAGAAACTTGATAGCTTAAATATAATCAATCAATATAGTATTTTACTATAATACATGGTTTAAAATAACATTTTCCTCAAATATCTTTAATTCTGTGTAAATTATATTATTATTTTTTTTTCTTTTACAAATTGGAAAGTTTTTAATGCTTGCAATTTGTTAAAAAATTTAAAAATATATCTTAAAATTATAGAAAAAATAACAATATGCTAGAGACATTTTAATTAAGAAACTTACTATTGTGTAATTGTGTACTAGGCCCTTATCTTCATTTATTCTGTTAATTTCTCGTATTTATCTTTAATATTTGAAAGCGTGACAAGAAGAAAACAATTGGAAAAATAACAGAATAATATATATATATATATAGTAGGCCTATACAAATTAATAAAAATATACTTAAAATGGATTCGATGTTAAGAAACATTTTTTTTTCTATGATAAATGTTTTCTTGGCTTGAATTTTGGTAATATTTAATGAAATTCTAAGGGATCTAAAAGTTACCTTCCTCTGTAGTAAGCTTATAAACCCATTTTATGTTGACTTTATATTTTTCCAGATCCTTTTTCATTTGAATTTTTTCGCTTATTCGAATCTTTATAAATCGTTCATACCACTATAGAATAGTTATATATTTTACCTAATCTCGATATTTCTTTCTATTGATTGTTTATAATAAAAACTTCAAAATTCGAAGCAAATTTGAGAAGCCTGATCACGTGTGAGAAAGATACTCTTACAGAATATTAAACAGATTTATTTTGTTTATTTTTCGGCGTAAAAAAAAAGCTTCCATCTTTTATCCTTTCATTTGAATAATTCTCAAAGCAGGGAAGAACTTTTCTTTTCTTTCTTTCTTTCTTTTTTATTTAGAAAAGAAAATTATGAAGAAGAGTTGGTTACAATTTTCTTGTTTTGCAGTGATAACAACATCTCACTCTACGCTAAACATTAAATGGCTGCTGTAAAAATTGATTTATTATCCGTAATTCGATCTCGGTCGGAAAAAAAGAGATGATAAAAAAAAATGAAGACTATTATCTCAATGTGTATACTAAGGTTTTTGTTTTCCAGAAAAAACAAGCGCTCGCCATCTTGGAAATGTCTGTAGGCAGGAACAATGCTTTACTGTCTCCTAATTCTTCAATCTTTCTATAATAAAACAGGATTATTGTCATTCTATCCTAGAAGAAATTCATTCATCATCTGCTAATTCTTGTTTTAGTATATCGAATATTTTTTCCTATGTGAGCCAACTATACAGTTCTTAACGGGCTAGCGGCGTTTTTTTTTTTTCAAATTATAAGATCTCATCTTAGTATCTAAATATAATTATGATGTATATAAAATTCTTAATATTCTAAAATAATTTTTATTTTAAACGAATTAAAATTAATAATAATAATAATAATAAAATTGATTTTAATATAATACAGTGATTATTTGTACAGTTTAAATTTTTTAAAACTAGAGGGCGACATTAAACGATTTTTCTTAATTTTAACCTTGAAGCGTAAAATACATTCAACGGAATTTTAACTTTGGCTCCATCTGGCGAATAGACTTCGAACAACTTTATTTTAAAACGGAATTTATTTTGTTATTTGTTCTTATGTATAAAATTTATTTTATAAAATTATTTATGATTTGAAAATAAGAAGGAAAGAATTAAAATTAAACAGTCTCTCCCTTGAATAATGCTTCATATATTTAATTAGGATACAAAGAATGATGGAGGTCTCTTAATTATCCATTAAAAATCCTAGAAATTATGTATAAAAATTAATGTTTACATTATTTATTTAAAGTTATTATTTTGTCAATTGAATACTGTATATTTAGATTTATTTTTTTTAATTTATAAAGTTGAGATTTTGATTATTCAATTTTAAAGCGATAATGTAACACGGCACAATTACAAATCGTATATTATTTATGTAAACAGTAAGTAAATGAATAATAACAAAGTAAATATCAATCTAGAATATTTTTAAATTATTCGCTTCAATTTTTATAGCAATTTGATTCGAGAGAAATAAATCAAGAAACGCACGAATGACTTTACTTGCAAAATATTTTTCTTTAATAATAAAAAGTAAATATAAAAGATAAATTCGAATAAATATATTCAAAATCTTTGACCGAAGCTTTGTTTGTATCAAACAATTAAAAATTCTCATTAAAGTCCTTTATGGCTAATTCGTGTAAAGTTATGAATTAATTACTCAATATAATGAAGTATGAATGGGGTATATTATTTATACAGAAGATATAAAGTATATTACTTCCAATATATCGAACTACAGTGACGTAAGAATACGGTATATTGAGATATGAATATTATACCGAAGCATAGAGCGGTGTAGTGAGACACGAGTAATAAAATTATTCATGTCTTATTATTTAAATTTTCGAAATTATATAAAGATTTATTTTATTTTAATACTTTTGCATAAGATATTTAAAAAGTAAATAGAATAAACGATATTGTCAAATTTCGATCGGGCTATAATGTGGCTAATTAATTATAACGATATTCAATAATTTGGACTAAAGGTAAGCGGTTAAGCCGCCATCTTGTGTTAAATTTAAAGGACTAAAAAATGTCGGATTACGTAATATATTTATTATTAATTAGCCATATTATAGCCCGATTAAAATCCGGCGGAATTATTATTTATTACTGTATATGTCGGATTTTGTTTATATGTAACAATATTATTTTGTTAGTATAAATACTACTTTACAGTTTATAACTAATGATATATTAATGGAACGCTGCTAAAATAATAATAGGTTAGTGTTTATTCGGAACACAAGCTGATGTAGGTTTGTTTAAAAATAATCCATTATGATAAGGAAATGATCTTCAGCTTCATTTCCCGTCTTCTACGCGTTAAATCGAATTATCCGTGCATTTTTTTCTACTCAAATGTTTTTCTTTTATTTATATCAAACTTTTCATTCATTTTCTCTTTTTCTTAAATACTTTTTATTTCTTTAAAAATTATTTCCCTAAATAATTTAAATAAATTTTGCTTACTAAAGTCCGTTCCGAATATAAATGGCTGGAGATTCTCACTCCATATTTGTTTATAATTAACTGATAAAGTATCACAACAGGAAATTTTTATTGTTTTTTTTTCCTAATATCTCTAAATATATCCCGCTATCGATGTGATTTCATATCTAAAAAGAGGATTTTGTTTGTATTAATTTACCTGTGTTCACAACAATCAAACCGTTCTGAATAAAATTGAATTTATAAATAACGTAAAATATCAAAAATTATTCGTGGAACAATCGCCATTAATTAATAATAAATAAATAGTTAATTATTAATTGGTTTATAAATTAACACGCCATTCTCTCGATACCTATGAACATAAGGAAAGGCTTTGAATGTATTCACATGAATTTTACACTACTTAAGACCAAGATGTAGGTAATTCGAACGAGACTGGTTTAATTTTAAGATCATTTTCGAGTTTTATAAGCTATTAAATATCTTCCAATAAACATAATCTGTCGATAAGAATCATAAAAATTTGTTTATAAAATATAAGATCGTATATGATTCACATGATTTGATTTGATAAAGCTTGGCAGACCCAATATTTATATTTGGAATATCTTTACAAGAGATAAGATGCAAAGCTAATTTTGTTTTCACAATAATAGCGCGTTTCTAAAGCGACGAAACGCTTACAATCTTGATTTTTACAGCGTTAGTATTTGTATTAATGGCAAATTTTTAATAGGTAAATATTACAATTATTTTTATATATAAATTCCCGGTATTTTTAAATAAATTCCGAATCGTGGGATGTAATAAAAGCGCGTGAGAACTGTACAGAACAGTAGCTAATAATCTTGCACGTGTGTTCTCTTATAATGTTGTCATAACAGTGGACTTTAGATAAATTATCAACGACAGATATTAACATAAAGCAGTAATTTATTCTTTAAATACTAGAGAAAAAATAATTAATGCTTTTCATTATTTATTTAAGCAAAATTCATAACAAGTATGTTTATTTATAAATTCTTGACCGTTACCCTCGGGTATATATTCGTTTAATGTTTATTTTAAGTGACCACATTGAGTTCTGCGCCTAGAAGTAACGTAATCCTTCTCCGTGTTGGCCTTCAAAATATAAGCAGATGGCTTAAATTGTAAACAAGTTTGTTATAAATACAAGCGATAACTCATAATATCACATTTATTCTCATCCTGTTAGATTTACTGATAAGTTTAACATCAATAAATATACTTTTATTTTGTTTAGATTCGGTCATTTAATTTAGCTAGCTTTAATTCTTCGAAATGAAAATTAAAAGAAATGCATAGTTTTGCTTAGATCTAGTTTATTTTATGTTTAAAAAAAGTAATCAAAATATTGAACTTTTGTGTATCTAAATCATAACAACAAAAAAGGTTACAGAATCCTAATATTTATTTATCACATTCACGTACAATACAAAACACTACCAAAGTACAAGTAACTATTGAAAAAACCGTATTTACAGCGTTATAAAACGTCACTTTGTGAATTATGGACAGTTGACTGAAAGAATAAACACAAGATGATATTTACTTTAAAAGAATCGAGTCTCGAAACCTGTTTGCTACTTTGTAAAAATCACCTATGTAAAAGTTCGGAAGTGGAACTTGTATACCAAACAGGTGCAGATGTTAAATTCCAGGTGGGCCAACTGTAATACTGAAATTTGCCCGGAGGTATTCTGAGATGGTAGGGAACTAGTTCGAATCCCAACAAACCTCGAGCGGGTTGAACGTTCTGTAGTGGAGGCAAGTCGACCGGATGCTTGGCCTTCTCGTCACGATCTTTATCACTACCTATCAGTCTTTCGATGGTGAAAGAGGTACCTTTAGTATGGCACGAATTCTGCCGATTCGAATCCGATCTTTCCGAATTTTTCTCGTTGCTAATGTCGTCATTATTGTTTCTATGAAGTTTACAAGTAGTACCTTTAATGCGCTTCTTCCTCCTCCTAAAATTACCATTTTCGAACATTTCTTCAGAATTCGGATCCAAAGTCCAGTAGTTACCTTTACCTGGTTTTCCTTTCTCCCTAGGTACTTTCAGAAAACAGTCATTCAGACTTAAATTGTGACGTATAGAATTCTGCCACCCCTGCTTATTATCGTGATAATATGGAAAGCGATCCATGATAAATTTATAAATGCCGTTCAGTGTGATTTTATGATCGGGTGCGTGCCTGATAGCCATGGCTATCAGAGCTATGTAGGAGAAGGGTGGTTTCTGAGCCGTTTTGTCACTCTGTACTCTATTCTCCAAGCTTCTATTGTTAGTTACTTCGTAACTACTAATCTGTCTATATCTAATTTTCTCGGGATAAGTTCCGAAATTTATATTTGTCGGGTACATAACTGGAGTAGAAGTTAAGTGACCGTAATAATCATTACCGGTTGATGACATCATCGAAACAAATGCATGTAGATCTTACACTAGTTAGCACTACACAACAAACTAAGTTGTTCGACTCTCTACTTGATAAAAATTACGAAAATCTGTCCACAGTACTTACAGGTAGGTATCCCTTGTCGACATTCAAGAAATTGACTTGGGCATTAATGTATTGTCTCACAAATCAGTCTACAAAAGGCAAAGGAGTGTTCGTACTCAACACCGAAGACAAAGTCAGTCGACTGTTATTCCACAAGTTTTCAAGTAGTCTTTGAAATTGCGACGCTCACGGAATGTCTAGACCACAGTATTTACTGCTTCCACCAGACTGCTGTCGTCTCACAGTACCTACAGAAACAAACCAAGCAATATTAAAGGCTCGACTAAGCAGATATAGGTCCTGGCTTGCATTATATACAATACAATTTTTATTGAATGTTAATGTTTTTGATTGTTTTTTAACATCAACACGTCGCAAATTATGCTGGATCCAAAGCCTCTCTTAGCTTCTACGAAATGTCAATTAAATACAGCGTTGTCATGACGACCAATCCTTCGTCCAATCACGTCCTTTGAGTTTATTTATAAATGAACCGAAGCTGATTATCTGGTTAGGCCCACCCAAGACGTCCAAGTTTGTTTTTACAATCCCAGTTAGTTTTTTTTTCTTTTTCTTTTTTTTTTGAGTGTGGAGAAGACCACCCCATAGTCCCAAATGAATGAAAAATACCGAGTTTTTAAAATATTTAGATTGAAATTTCTTCAAAATATTATCGTAGACATTTTAAAATAATTAAATATACTTCCAAATCTTTTCGTAAGCAAAACACGTGCAATTCTTTTGTACTTAAAATTGAAACTAAGCCAAAAACTTCCAGAAATGAATTTTATTTTATGTAAATGCCCCAATTATTTTATCACATTGATGCTAAAAAATCCTTTGTTTTTCTCCGAGTTTCGGCATCTGTCTATTAATTACAAATAAAGCATAAGAGATCTTCGAAGAATTCGAGTCAAAGTTCAAACTTTTGTTTAAAATAAGCTTGTAAACTTCATAAATATTCTAACCCTCTTAATTAAATCGTCAAGTTTTTAGTGGCTTTAGATCCAGCAAAAGTTTCATACCGCCTCGAATGATATTTAAATTTAAGCATTAATTTAAGAATTATTTAATTAAAAAAGTAATTAAACGTTTATAAAATTGAGTTACGTTGTAGCAGGATTAAAAGTCAAAAACAAATTGAAACTCACCACAAGTGGGAGGAGAGAGGGAGACGTCCCGACGAAGTCGAAGCTCAAAACAAAACTAATTGTTGACATTAACTCAACGGGGTGTGTTATGGCAAACTAAATAAGATACTGTAAATATAACACACAACTGATAAAACTGTTGATTCTATAAGATATATGTTCAACCTAACCAATTATTTAAAAGAGAGCCTCGCCTTTCCTATTGCATCTTATAAATCAACTCTCTTCGAAGGAAAAAAACGGCTACCTTTAATACCCACACCATTTAAAACCTCCGAGTGTAGGTGTTAAATTTCTCACTAGAAAAAAAAAATTCTAATGTAATTTATCGGAGCGATCGCCATCTTTATATTTATGGTTACACCCGAGTGATTAATATATTTGTTATTTTCATATCTATACTTATCGATAAAGGTAACAATGTATTTTGATAATTGATTTCCTGTCTTTAAACATTCTTATCTTATCATTTAATTTGCAAAGGGCCTATTAGCATTATATAAAATTTACATAATATTCCACTTCATATAGGCTACTCACCAAAGTAGAAAATATATTATAAACTTTACACCATCTTCTCTTATAATTTTTACATTTCACTCTATATTAATTATATAAAATATTGAGTACAACCGCATAAGCTCACTCTATTAAATAATATACAAATTCTATAGATTAAATTTAAAAATTATAATATTTATTACATTCTAATAATAAATATTATAATAATGGTAGATAAAAGTGTCTAATTTCATATTATCGCTTACAAATATTATATTAAGGCGAAGAATAATCTAGAAGGCCAAGGTCAACTAGACTGAAACGACAACCTTAATATCTTGATCATGCATTCGTCATGCACATGTCACTGGTACAAACACTACAGACATACTTTACTCCACCCTCGACTCTATCTATATCGATAACTGCTTATGATTATTTTTATAAAAATATTTATAAATATTTTAATAACTTTTTTTTTAAATAGAAATCACATGTTTANGTGAGTAGGTCAGTTTTAGAAATGGAAGTAAAACGTTGACCAGGCATTCGGACGTTCCTTTCGTAACATTTATTAATATAAAATCAAGTTAAACAACTGAAAAATTTCCTTCAGTTTGCATTATATATATAAGGAGTATTTTATGCTTGTTTTGTGTGTAAAGTGTAAAGACAGTGAATTAAATTAATTTAAGATTTTCAGTACAGTACAGAATGCCATTGACTGTAAAAAATTATATAGATTAACATTTTTTAATTATTCAAAGCCATTCTAGAAAACTAAACATTAAAAAAATTATCTCAGTAAGAATAAAATACAATAATATCTAAGTTCAAGAGATATGGCATGTTTGTTTAGCACTCGATGGTTGTTGCAATGTAGCAAAGTCCAATCAGAAGCAAACTGTTACACTCAATTAGAAAACTCTGCAGCGTGGGATTTTAAAATTTAAATAAATAAGAGAGGGGGAAAAATTGATAATTACAAACGTCCAAACAGTCCTTTAACATTTCCATTAACGTCGTGTGTATTGTCTGTTGTGCTGTGGGAGCCAATGTTAATGGAACCTCTCTAAGAGGACATTTCTCACACACAACCACTTTATCATAATTCTACACTTCAGATGGTGTCTGTCAAAACAAAAACCATTTTCTAAAACGAGATAGACAGACAGTTTAATCTTAGCTATTTATATCATCAACGGCGGCGGCATTTTGTTTATTGTCAATCACGCCTATGTCATTTTTTTTAATATTGTTTTCTTTTACATAAACTTAATGGTATTGTATCATCGACAGCTTTCCTTGATGAATGTCTCGAGGTTAAAAAGTTCGTGTGAAAGTAGTGGCTAAGTGTCGGGAGTTTAAGAGGGAAAGACCTATTTGACACTCCAAAAATTCTGACTTCGGGTTTAAATTTCGAATAAAATATATATACGAACCTCAAACACCTGTAAGAGCACGAAAAACCTAGAAAGGACACGTGAACATTCAAAAGGTGAAACTTTATAAACGATAGCAACCCGTTTAACACGGACAAAGCTTCGTTATAACCTCTAAATGGATAACCTTTATAAAATTCTCCAAACATCTTTTTTTAGTTTTAAAACTGATAAGTCTAATCAAATAGATCACCATTATCTAGAAAAAATCGTTTGTTGATGAAAGATAAAAGGCCTGTTTTGTTTTTAATTATTAAAATAATTTTCCCCCACTTTATTCTATAAAATAGAATTTTATAACACTCGCTAGAGAAAGTTTAGTATTTGTTTATACAGATTCATTACAGAGTTAAAAACTTGCCTCTTCACATGTTTACGTTTCGACAAGATCTTTTAAGCTATCAGTTAACGATAAAAACGCCTACAGTTATAAAGATATTTATTTTTCTCGAGTCGATTTTAAAATAATAATTTATCGTATTTTATATCATCTTTTTATTCCGGACGTATTTAAAATACAAGTAACCATCATCACCACACCATTATGTCCAAAGCCAACTAAGGTTTGATGTTAGTTTCTTGCAGGATACATTCGTATATAGAATTATTCTAGAAAATAAACAAAAAATACATTCTCCGGAATAATTTTCGCTTAAAAAAGAAAAAAAGATCCTTGATTCTAGCAATCAATTTTAAAACAAATTTGCTGATTTAACAGAAAAGGAAGTTATAGTTGAATGTTGACATAAGAGTCAGGCTAATCTACGCTGCATGACATTAATTTCGATAATACCATTTGCCATTTTTGTTTACATTAGATAACAGTAGATCTTTCCCAATTGAAAACAACCTGTTTATGATGAAAAATACTGAAGATAGAAAGGGGGCAAGGGATAGGCTCTAATAATTGCCCTTTGATACTTTAAAATGCCAGTTGTTTAGGTATAGGGATTATTAGAATCAAATGAATATTAAACAAGATAATTTTGTTGTAATAAAATTATTAAACCGATTTAATAAAAAAAAAAGTAAAACTAATACTGTATGTATCAGTTTTAATTGTGTTTTATTACACGAGATAATTTACTAGACTGATGGGAAATTGTTATACTTTATATTAAGATGAAGCGCTAAATTGTGTACATTTAGAGAAGAAAAATACGGTTGTAATTTATCAAATTTCGATTTTTACGACTTTTTCTTATAAAATGCTTTTAAATCACGTTTAAACTTCGTCAAAATACAATAAAATATAAAAAGAAGTTTGTCTATCTTAAAGATAACATTACACAAAATACACTGTAATTCATTCTAGTCTGGAGTTCGTCAATTTTCCTGACTTTGATAAATTGTCATTCTGTCATCGTTCCTGTCCTAATCCTGTTCTAAGTAACCCAAAAAATAAACTATAAAAACAAAAACAAAAACCCGAGAAAGACGACGGACGAAAATTCGACCCGATTAATAATTTGAATGCAAGAACTTTTAAAAAAGATGGCGGATCTTCCTTCTCGTATTTGTTTGTAATTCACGAACAAGATCATAAATAAAAGTCACAAAATTTTATAATTCTTTAAATCATATCATTTTTATTACTTTGTTGATTAGAACCGTGCATCTCTTATCGTGTTTCGTTGTTTAATCTTTTAAGAATCGCCAATAAAAAGACGTCTCCGTGTTGATCTTATTAAATGTTTGTTTTTCTTGTGTGTAATCGAAATAAAATTTTGTAATAAATCTCGCTCATCGTGTTAAATATTTTAAATTCAAGGTCTTCTTTAAAAGTGACTAATTATAGATGCCCTTTAGAAGACTTCTCGGTTGTACGTGTTGTTTACAAAATGCACACTTGTACGCGTTGTCCGGCCGATGAAACGTTTCGGACAGAGGTTACTAGAGTTGAATGTAAACAGTTGTATATCAAGTAGTTGTATATCAAGTAGTTGATATGTTGTTCGGTCCTTGGTTGTGTGGGAAATCGGTCATAAAACTGAAACTTTCTAAACTTTGCTTGAAACAGTGAGTAGGTCAGTTTTAGAAATGGAAGTAAAACGTTGACCAGGCATTCGGACGTTCCTTTCGTAACATTTATTAATATAAAATCAAGTTAAACAACTGAAAAATTTCCTTCAGTTTGCATTAGATTAAAATGTTAGAAACATCAGAAAGGTACGAAAAACATTTACGTATGAAGAATCAATGTGCAAATTTAAAAAAAATAGTGTATAAAAATAGATAGATAACAATGATATCTACTTGTAATCAAGTTACTTATACGCATTCATTAGATAAAATATAAATTAAAACTCTGTTCATCGGAGAAAATAAAATTTATATCTCGTAGAGTAACTCAATTGAAGCGAATCAATTAGAAATCAATTAGCATTTTTCGAGTTTATTTAAAATCCAATAAAGATTTTAAACATTTGTTAGTCGTTAATTATACTTTTGAGATTATTCTTCTAATGCCAACGCTTAATTTTTTTTAAACATGTAAAGTTTCGAAGACACATGATAGAAGGTCAATGTCCTTGATGGATATCCGTTAAGAGAGAGGAGGACGGGACTTGGGTGGTCTTACCAACATTGTTTATTTATCCATTGAATGACGGTGGGATAGGACGCCATCCAATGTCCCCAGACACAGCTCTTCACTCACAATAGCTTATTTATATTTCCCCTAACCACCGTTGGGCGGTGTTTTGTCGTTCAAAGAATCGAGTACTTCGAGCACCACATGGGACAACATTGATATCAAGAATGTGCTTTGCCGTTTAAAACCTTTAAAGTACGTTAATTCGAAGACAAAAATCTTCGTAATTTTGTTCATTGAATCGAATGAAAATTCATTTTTATTTTATTTATTTATTTTACATTTTAATTCAAACACGCAATTCGCATCTTATAAACGAGTTCGTATGTAAAAATGGCTTAAAGTTTTATTAAAAGTTACACCTTTCACATTAGTTTTTCTATTTGTCTGAATATTTTCCAAAATATTATGTTTATTTACTTCGTATGTTGTACTAACAAGTAAGTTAACTCCTGTAAAGTCTGTTTTTCCTAGTTACAGTTTAGTGCAGCAGACAATTAGAAAACACAAAATGAAAATGATGCTAATACGTTAAATTTATAAAGCTTTTATTCACCAATGTGATTTAATACACCCCCAAAAACCTCTTCGTGCAAAAAAATTAGATTGTATGATGGATCGAAGGTAACTGGCCGTATCAGTTCTTACGATGAATGGAATGTAAAACATAAATAAACGATCGTCTCAAGCTGCTGGATTCTTTCTCATCAGAGCTATATCTGCGTCCACCATTTCTTGTACCAGTTCCTGTGGGGATTTAGAAAGGAAAAAAATGAGCATTACAATTCAGTGGTTGCGGTTACCAGATTAAGATTCGCACAATTTCGTGAGTTAATCCGGATAGAAAAATTGATTAAATCCCCGGTACAAACCTCGAATTTTATCCTAGGGGACCAACCGAACTTCTTTTTCGCTTTTGTGGCATCGCCTAGGAGGAAGTCCTGCGGGAACAACAAAATTAGTGTCACGTCGTACAAATATATATAAACACAACCGAGATTTCTAACGCAGCCACTCTAACGGCGCCACTGTCTCCCGGATCGCCCCTTCTCCTCTAGTTTTCGCACCCTCCCCGTAACCAAAATATTGGCAGCTCGCCTGACATGATGGACAGCTCCAGAATTGGCAGAACGGGAACCACAATGACCCTCCAGTTGTTATTCTTTCCTCCGGTCGGCCCATCTAATTGAATGGACCTTTAATCAAATCCTGCAGCAGGCTCACTGCCACAACAACCCGTGCCTTCGGGGCTACTACATCCTTTAGCCAGGTGGTCGATTCCAACATCTGATTGGTATGCAAAATTCTACTTCTAAATCTCTTGTTCGAGTGCGCCACGAGGGGGGAAGAAAACGGGAGGCGAACAGCACGAAAAAAATCTAATAACTTATCTGACAATTGCAGATTATTTTCCTGATAGGCTACAACAATAATTCTTTATAAAATAAGCATTTCTGCTTTCATATTCTTTTAAAAAATACACAAATTAATACCTGTAAACAATTTTTTCTCTTGTTAATTTAAATTTAATTAAATACATTTTAACGCCTTAAGATTTTGTATAAAGTAAAAATGTATTTAATTAATTAACATATGTGAAGTAATACTCTTAAAAGTTATCAAAGTTATAAATTACATTATTATATACATTATACATAATTAATATATCAAAAAATATCCAAAGTACAGATAATTTTTTACTCATTCACTCATCACATACAATATCAATAAACGGTGTTTGATTATAAAGAACAAATCAGCAAATGATTAATGTATTTATACGAAAATTTAGCATATTTACAAATTATATAAAATGATAAATAGGTGTGGATATTATATAAATAAATATTTATATTGAAAATTCTGTTATTTAATTAACTACTGTTCATTTTGAAATATTAATTTTTTTAAACATAATAAATAATCTTGATACATATTTAATAAAATTCTTATCACTTTTTATTACTTATAAATAAAGAAAACTGATACTTTGATTCATTTTGAAATTTTAACTCTATTTATAGATCTAATTTTTCTAGCATAATGCTATAAACAAATTTAGAATTTAATAAAGAGCTTTTGTTAACATTGAAGTTTAATCATTTACTGAGATGGATTTATTTAATTATACATTAAATAAATTTTCTATATTGACAATTTCAGTTCAGTAATCACCACCATTTTTTATATACAGAAGTTTGTTCTAAATTATTATGAAAAAAACCAATAAAAAAGTTAATATAATTAAAAATTATAAAATTTTAAACAAAATAAAACAAATTATACATCCTATAACTAAACTAAACAATATATAATCTAAATATTGTATTTTAAATATTGTTAATTTATTAATGTAGCATTTATCTCAAATATTTTTATTTAAAAATTTGTATTATTTATAAACACAATAATTATATATAATTATTATATACAATATGATACTAAAGGTAAGCGGTTAAGCCGCCATCTTGTGTTAAATTTAAAGGACTAAAAAATGTCGGATTACGTAATATATTTATTATTAATTAGCCATATTATAGCCCGATTAAAATCCGGCGGAATTATTATTTATTACTGTATATGTCGGATTTTGTTTATATGTAACAATATTATTTTGTTAGTATAAATACTACTTTACAGTTTATAACTAATGATATATTAATGGAACGCTGCTAAAATAATAATAGGTTAGTGTTTATTCGGAACACAAGCTGATGTAGGTTTGTTTAAAAATAATCCATTATGATAAGGAAATGATCTTCAGCTTCATTTCCCGTCTTCTACGCGTTAAATCGAATTATCCGTGCATTTTTTTCTACTCAAATGTTTTTCTTTTATTTATATCAAACTTTTCATTCATTTTCTCTTTTTCTTAAATACTTTTTATTTCTTTAAAAATTATTTCCCTAAATAATTTAAATAAATTTTGCTTACTAAAGTCCGTTCCGAATATAAATGGCTGGAGATTCTCACTCCATATTTGTTTATAATTAACTGATAAAGTATCACAACAGGAAATTTTTATTGTTTTTTTTTCCTAATATCTCTAAATATATCCCGCTATCGATGTGATTTCATATCTAAAAAGAGGATTTTGTTTGTATTAATTTACCTGTGTTCACAACAATCAAACCGTTCTGAATAAAATTGAATTTATAAATAACGTAAAATATCAAAAATTATTCGTGGAACAATCGCCATTAATTAATAATAAATAAATAGTTAATTATTAATTGGTTTATAAATTAACACGCCATTCTCTCGATACCTATGAACATAAGGAAAGGCTTTGAATGTATTCACATGAATTTTACACTACTTAAGACCAAGATGTAGGTAATTCGAACGAGACTGGTTTAATTTTAAGATCATTTTCGAGTTTTATAAGCTATTAAATATCTTCCAATAAACATAATCTGTCGATAAGAATCATAAAAATTTGTTTATAAAATATAAGATCGTATATGATTCACATGATTTGATTTGATAAAGCTTGGCAGACCCAATATTTATATTTGGAATATCTTTACAAGAGATAAGATGCAAAGCTAATTTTGTTTTCACAATAATAGCGCGTTTCTAAAGCGACGAAACGCTTACAATCTTGATTTTTACAGCGTTAGTATTTGTATTAATGGCAAATTTTTAATAGGTAAATATTACAATTATTTTTATATATAAATTCCCGGTATTTTTAAATAAATTCCGAATCGTGGGATGTAATAAAAGCGCGTGAGAACTGTACAGAACAGTAGCTAANAAAAAAAAATAGAAATAATATTTAATGTTTTACAAAATTTAATTTATTATTGTAGATTAAAAATTTTTAAAAATATAATATGATGAAAAAGAAAACAGATACTAGTGAATGACTTATTATTTTTATACTGTTGTTTGTTTATTTTAAACTCAAAAATATATTGGTATATTTTTATTAGGAATTTCTCAAAAAAAAAAAGAAAAGAAAAATTAATGTATTTTCTTGCATTGAAAATTTTTATTCTGTTATTACTGTTTAAAGTTTATATTTAATTTAAATAGTATTAATGAATGAATTAAGTATGTAATATGTTCTTCATTTTTACTTGTAAGACTAACATGTATATAATGTATTTCTTGCATAAAAACTACATTTATTTTACAGTTTAAGATTTTGATGAAATCCAATATTTTTAAACATAGATAATAAAAGGGGAAGTGAGTGAAAAAAATCTATGTTTTTGAATGTATTTGTAGGTCTTTCCATTGAGAAAAGTTGAGTGTGGCTTTCTGAAAGAAAGGACTTACAAAGAGGTTCAAAAACATAAAACATAAATAAAAAAAACTATTTTTTTTATAAAGTTTCTTGAATCATTTAAAAGAATGCTGATCACAGAATCATATTTTCCTTCAAGAATATACAAATAAATTATAGGGAAAATTTACATGAAATTTATGTTAAATAGAAAATATTTTCCTAAAAAGCTATAATAAGCATTAAAATGCATATTTTTTAAAATACGAGTTGTTTAAAAAAATAAACAACAAAACTCAGTTGGAGAGGAACATTATAAAACAAATTGAAAAAAAAAAAACATAACCCCAGAAAATGTTTTAATTAAACATTTTCTCTTTCTTTATAAGTCATATTCAAATTAAACAGAATATTGACTATCAAATATTAAATATTAGGTAGTGAATAAGTATTCAATACTTGCTGAAAAACAAGATTTTTAGTTAGACATTCTTTTAAAAAAGGAAGTATTTAATATATTTATTGATAATAAATGTTTGGCTAATTATCATTATATATACAAGATGGCCCAAATAAAGTGTTAGTCCATTATTCAATTGATTAATAATACTTTTTTTGTCAGTATTCAAGTTAGAAAAGGCATTATTATCAGCTAAAGAACCACCTAACCTCTCTTGGTGGGAGTGGAATTAACTGAAATTTTAAATGGAACATTATCAAAATGTAAATATTTGGATTCTATGCTTAAAAAACAGCAACTATTAATCTGGAGATTTTTCTTAATCACACTTTCTAAAAAAAGTATGTAAATTGGAATGTAGCAATTAACAAATTAATACAGAAATCAATTTGAAAAAAGTTATGAAATTTTCTTTCTTTAGATAGCATACCATTTACAGTACAATTAGACATTAATTTAATCTAATTACATAATTTCTCAGGTTCCATTTGAAATTTTGCAGTTAATGGAATCCCACTTTATGGAATTATATGAGACTCTAGCTTTTTTTATTAACTTCTTTTCTAATAAAAAAGCTAAAAAACCTCATGTAATGACAGATGAAAAATTTTTAATCATCAATTAAATCATTTCATTTCACATATACAGAAAAATGCTAATGGAAAAAGTCTCAGTAAGAGAAGGGAAACAACTATTTTTTCTCTAAAAAAAAAAAAAGTTCTTTGTCTACAACAGGACAATCCATGTATCTGATCAATGAAATTTTNATTAATTAAAAAAGAAATAAACTATGTTAATTTAGTCTTTTGTGTTTATAACTAACTACTTTTTCCAAATTTTAATTTATGATTATTAGAATAATTATTATTAATGTTTTAAAAGATGTATTCAATTGACATCAAACTAACTCTTAAAAACAATTTACATTCAATTTTAAAACTAAAATTAATTAATTGTTTGTTTTCCAAGTCATACCTATATAAATCATCTTCAATTTCTATGCAAGACCATTTACAAAATAAAAAATTGTTGTGTTTTTATTTTATCAAAAGCTATTTATTTATAAACTGACAAAAATCATTTCTAAAGGCCCATTTTTAGTAACCCAGTTTATTTTATTTTTGTTTTCAATAAAATAAATAAACTTTTAAAAATACTAAATATAAAAATAGAAATTTTTCTTAATGTAACTCTTAAGATAAATAATTTTGTAAGGAATGAAGTACGACTGGAACATCCACTTTCTTCTTTATTTTATTTGGATACAGTTTAAGAGAATTCTTTCATTAAATAATTTTTAAATAAAAGTTTTTATTTAAAGACTTTTTCATAAAAAAAGGAATAATAATACCAGAGAGATAACTTTGATGAAGAAAAAGGAATATTTTATTAGCATTAAGAAACACCTTTGAGGAAGCAGAACCTAAAGAGCTGAAGGAGGACATGTACAAAACATTTTATTTTTTTCCAGTAAAAAAATTTTAAATATGAAACATGAGAAGATATTTAGCAAAAGCATTAAATTATATTGTATTGAGAAATGCAAATCACTCACTGCAGATCAAATATAAGTAAATAAAAAGTATACAATTAATAATAATTTTTAGATTTTTATAACATCTTCAAATTGCACAATGTTTGGTATTTATATCTCTTTGAAATGAAAATAAAATAATAATAATGAAATGCATAAACCAAATTCATAAATTATTTTATTAACAACTTTTAAGGACATGATTACAAACTCCAAGTAAAATATTTAAATCCTTTTTTTTAACACTTTAAATATTTTAATGCATTAAAT